CAGCGTCAGATCCCCTAAACCCCGAACCCTTAAATCCTTAAACCCATGTTGGCATCGTACGAGACGCTCGGGAGGCCCTTCGAATCCGCAGGGCAGGGGACTTTAAGCCGCAATTCTAGGTCACGAGCTTGGCTAGGCCTGCGGGACAATTTGATATTTTCCCTTTATTGGGCTTGTCCCTAAACCCTAAACTCTGAACCCTTAGCCGCAAACCCTAACACCCCACACTCTAAACCTAATCCCTAAACCGAAGACTTTCAAAGGCTTCATAGGTGGCAATCAGCCCGGACCTTGGGAGTCACTCCCCGCTCAAGGACGCCGACGCGGCAGAGTTCGGGCAGGAGTGTGCCATGCTTTGGTTTAGGGTTTAGGGTCTCGGGTTTAGGAAGAGACCTCAATCCGAAATCCGGTGCCAAGCCTGACACCCTGAACCCGTCAACAAAATACTTGGTCGCTCCGTTGCGGCTGAACGTAACAGAAGCCCTTCGTCTTGGCCGTATAAGCCAGGACCCTTCGGTTTGGAATGTTTGGAATGATGTATATTTGTCGGGTACAGCTCCCCTCCGGACAACGAAGTGCATCAGATTCCGTCAGCATGTTTGCCAAGGGGTTTTGCTTTGGTTTGGGCTGTGGGCGTTTCTTCGGCGACCCACGGCCAGGGTTTGAGTGCTTGCGGGCTTGCTTAAGGCATCATTGCGAGACACCTCCGAACTCAACATCGTCAGCTTCCATTCCCATCTACGCGGTGCGGTTTAAACTCTCCTCTTGCCTGGCTCTTCCTAAACCAACGTCAATCATGCATCGGCGTTGTTCTGTTGAGTGCAAACAAGGGTTGCAAGGCTCTTGTGGTTATAGTCGTCAAGCAGGAGTTTTGCCGCCTCTGCTTCAGGGTTCAGGTGTTTGGTGCTTCGTGGGTTTAGGGTTCGAGGATCAAGGACAAACCAGAGATATTGTGGAACGAGGAAGGAAGAAGGGAAAACACCATGCCCAACAAATGGTTGAATATGAGTTCTTCACCAGAGACGTCTGGAGGAGTTTCTTCAGGCGAAGGAGCACAATGTTCCTCTGCTGGTTAGTGGTCGCTTCGAGCACTTGGTCCGATTGTTAGGGTTTCCGAGGGCTCGGAGGCGAAATTTCGGAGGATAAGGGCGAACCTGCTTGACTGAGATCCGGAACGCCGCGTGCCCGATGGTTGCCGCCAGGAGCCACTCGCCTTCATAGCCGTCCCCTGGGTTCTGGGAGGGTTTACGGTTTAGGGGTTGGTGAGTTTTCAGGATTCAGGGTTGGGTTTAGGCTGTTTAGGCTTGTTTGGCGCTTGGAGTTAGGGTTAGGGCTAGATCCCTTTCTTACATAACCTTGGAGAGGCATTGCAGCCTGCGGGGGGAAGCAACGCTTTCGTACATCCGAAATGTCGCATTATTCAAGCAGGTAACTTTGAGTAGCAGTTGCCCTTCTGGGAACAGGTTACAACCCTATTTAATACCCCTGAAGCCCCAACATACTTTCCCAAGAGCTTAACCCCTAAACCCTAAACCCCTGAACCCTAAACCCCGAAACCCTAAACCTCGAAACCCGAAACCCCTAAGCCCTAGACCCCTAAACCCTAAACCTCCATAAGCCCCAGACCCCTAAACCGTAAACCCTAACCCCCTAAGCCCTAGACCCCCAAACCTAAGCCCTAGACCCTTAAACCCAACACCCCCAAGCCCCAGTAAACCCCCAAACCCCCAAACCCCCAAACCCCTAAACCCCTAAACCCCTAAACCCCTAAACCCCTAAACCCTAAACCCCTAAACCTGTAGCACCCCAAGGAAGCTGGAGAACACCCGGAGCTGACTCCTCGCCGAGGTTGCTTTGCGCAGAACCCGGTTTGCAGCAACTTCAGCGCCTCCCTGTCGGCCTGGTCCCTGGGTTTAGGGTTTAGGGGTTTAGGGGCTTAGGGTTTAGGGTTTGGGGCTTAGGGTTTAGGGGCTTAGGGTTTAGGGGTTTAGGGGTTAGGGGTTAGGGGTTAGGGGTTTAGAGGTTTAGGGGTTTAGGGGTTTCGTTTTTTTTTTGGTTTAGGGGTTTAGGGTGTTCTGTGGGTTCTTTGTTTCTGTTTTGGAGGGTTTGGGTTTTAGGTTCCATGGGGTACAGCGTTGGTCTAGGGCTTGTTGAATGCTTTAGGGATGCGACTCTGAAATCCAATTTGGAGCCTGGGAGGCTGGGGATTCAATTTTTAAGTTTGAGGTTAGAGAGGTGATGGTTTCAGGGACTTCGGATTTCGTGTTCGGAAGTTGAGTGTGTTGCACCTGGCTTTTCTGTCGCAGCCAAGCAATAGGCCAAGTGATGGGAGTGGACTTGGGTCAGCACGTGCCAGTAAAGCCAGAAGGTTAGTGGCGGTTTAGGGCACAGCGGAGGGGGCTGGAAGCCTGTACTATAGAACCCTAACCCCAACCCTAAACCCCTAAACCCTAAACCTCTAAACCTCTAAACTCTAAACCCTAAACCCCTAAACCCTAAACCCTTAAACCCCTAAACCCCTAAACCCTAAACCCTAAGCCCTAAACCCCTAAACCCTAAACCCTTGGCATCGCCCCAAGTTTCTAAGCTCCCGGTATCGGAACCCGACTTCTGCCACCCCAGAGCCCCTCTGCGGCCCAACTCAAAACCATCTCAAGCCCAGAGCTTGACAACATCTAACTAGACGAAGATTATGTTAGAATTCCATTATAATTAGACCATAATTATCACTATAATTATACTATACTTTTACTACGACATTGCATTGTATTTGCATTATATTAATTGCTTAAACCCCCCAAAAGCCCCATGTCCTGAATCCGAAACTGGAGCTCCGGCAGCAGACATCCCAAGTACGAGCTCCAGCCGCGAAATCCTGCAGTCGAGGTCCTAAGACTTGTGCCGCATGCCAAATCCCTGAAAAGCACAATAAAAAGGGGTCTTATTCGTTAGAATACGGTTTTAGGGCGCCTTCTACTATAGATATAATACGGAACCGTCAAAATAGTATTGGCAATTATTTGGGCCCCTACATTACCCTGAGATCTAAACCTTACTAAACCCTATACCCGAAAAACTGAAAAGCACCATATTTTAAAATCCGAACTTTGCTAAGCCCTAACAGCTCCTGAGCCTTGCAGCCTTTTAGTACCCCGAGTTGCAGCCCTCATAGCATTCCTTCTCGTAGCCCTTGTGGCAACTCTTTATGGTAACCCTCGTAGTAGCCCCCGACTCGCCAGTTTTTGGGCACTGCTTTTGCGGACCTTGACACGCCGGATAATGCCTCGTGCAACGCTGCAGGCCGGGCTTGGGCCAGGATAATATAGGAGCCTGAGTAATTACCAATACTATTTTGGGGCTCCTTATTAAAACTATACTATAGAGGAGCCCAAAACCGTATTCTAATTATTAAGGCCCTTACATTACATTCAGCTTTTGAGGGTTTGTTTCATGGTTTAGGGCTGCAAGGCTAAGAACAGGATCTGAAGAGTTCTGAAGAGCTCTGCTCTTGTTCGTATTAGGGGATCTTGAAGGGCTTTAGTGCGTACAGGGTCCTATGGGGTCTATGATACTTGCTAGTCTTCAAGCTTCCCGGCGATGTAGGGTGTCGAACCCCTGGTCTTATTTTATCCAGCCCCTATCTGCGCCTAAGGGGCCTCAGCAGGATTTCGGGCTTTTTCTAAGGTCTGTGTTTCAGCTGCAGTCAGTCATGTGGATCTTGTGAGTATGTTTGGCTTGCTTCAAGACCGTTCATAGCATGGCTGCCGTTTCAGGTCTTGCCTGTATGAAAGTTATATATATATATATATAAATATAACTATATACTTATATAAACTATATATATATATATACACAGACACTGAGGACCCGTATTTGGGCCAAACACTGCGTGGAGCCTATGGAGAGTGGTCGAATACAGCCTTGTCTGGGCTGTCAAGGGCTCCGCCTTGTTAATCCACCAGAATACCTTGCTTCTCCCTTCAAGAAGGAAATCCCTGCGCCCCTGCCCCTGCCCCTGCCCCTGCCTTGCCTTGCTTGCCCTACCCTGCCTTGCCTGCCCTGCCCTGCCCTGCCCCGCCCAGAACGAGCACGGCGCCCTGCCCACATACATATGCATTTTTCCACACCTCTGTCTGTCAGCCGCCCTGCCCTGCCCCGCCCAGAACGAGCACGGCGCCCTGCCCACATACATATGCATTTTTCCACACCTCTGTCTGTCAGCCGCC